CCAAAGTGAGGGAGAACCCTCCCTCATTTCTGGGGACATCTAGCTCAACCAGTCCTATCTTGCCATGAAATTGGATATCCTCGCTTGAATGAATCAAGTGGCCTGTCCTCAGGGTCATCACAGGGGCACTACAGCATACTTCTGAGTGTTGCGGTGACTACCCATTTGAAATATGATCCTGGGACCCCAAAGAAGTCAGTTTCCCTGAGGCAAAAAGCAAATGGGAAAAATCTCAAATCTACCAGTGATTTGGAGGAAGACAGAGATGGTGTATGGATGAAATTTGCAGGTGACACAGAGCTCAAAGTTGTATTTGCACGTTGTCATATTACAGAACACAACTACAAAGTGGAGAGGGATAATCTAATACACTGGTCACAGAATTATGACCTTAAAAATCTAAATAGGCTGTATCAGTGGGCTGAAACTAACAAGATGAAATCTAATAGGGATAAATGTAAAAACCTATTCTTGGGTCGAAAGAATCAACTGTACAAATATAAGAGAAGCGAGACACAGCTAGAAGGTACATTACGCGAAAAAAAGACCTGAGGGTTTTAATTGGCTATAAGCTTAGTATGAGTCAGGGTGATATGAAAGCCAAAAAAAGCTAGTAGGATCTTAATTCCATAAAAATAGAAGTACAGTTATCCCTTCCACATTGCGACTTTCCCCATTGCAGTTTCTATATATCATGGCTTGGCATAAGAAATTAAATGGGAATTTGGGGGGAGTTTTACAGAAGCCTCAGATGCTGGGAGAAGGTCCATAGACAGCACAGAGCCTCTGGTCAAATACTTAACCCAAATTTTACAATAAGGTACTATAAACACCCTATAAAAGAACAAGAAAAAATTCAAACTTATTCTCTGGTATGAAGAGAGGGCCAAAAAAATTTACATGAATTTTCCAGATCACGGGGGCGCTGCACCCCTAATTCCCATGATGTGGAAGGGATAACTGTATAGTTTTCAGAGTAAAGGAGATGGTAGCACTTTTGTGCTGAATCCTGGTCAGACCATACCTAGAGTGTCAAGCCCAGGGATGGACATCACATTTTAAAATGTACTGTGACAAGCTATGTAACATACAAAAGAGGGAGACAAGGACAGCAACGGTATTCAAACTATACAGAATTTCCTAACAAAGCTGTCTGGAAATGGAAAGGATAGACTACAGAAGTTGAGAGTTCTCCATGACTCCCCCTGCAAACAAAGGGAGGAATACCACTTATCTACCTTGTTGTCAATAATATTCCCAAATACTTGTATTGGAATAAATACCCTCAGAAGTCCCCTTCCACCATGGCATTTATGACCACAGTGGTTGCCAAATATAAAAGCCTTGTCAAAAAGTAGGTCCACTGCCTGTGGTACTGACTGGGGCAGAATTTTTCCTAGGGAAATGGGCAGAATTTTTGGTCTTCGGCTTAACCCTCAAGTGTCCTATTGAAGAAAGTGGATAATAGCTTCATTGCATGCAAGTGCCAAATTAATAGCAGCCTAGGATATTGGGGGAAGATATTTTTTAAACCATTGTTTCAATGTAAACTGCAGGCAGCAACAAAATCAGTGTATTTAAAATGCTTTTTTCTTCATATTGGACAGTGCTGCTTGAAACACGGAATGTACATTTCACATATGCAAAGCCACTAGGACTCTGTGGAGAAACACAACAACCCCCAGGAGAGGCCTCAGTACCAATTTGATTTTACTTTGCAGAGAATTAGCTGCAGGGGGAAAGTTGGAAGGACCTGGTTTGTTTTGTTTTTTTTTTTTAAGTCCATTTCAGCACCTCCTGCCTCCAATATCAGCCTGAGCACACATTGTTTCTCTTTCTCCCATTTTCTGACACATCCTATCCAAATAATATTGGCAGATCAAAAGAAAGATGACCATCGGTTTCAATCTGTTTGAACTGATGGAAATTCAAGTGCACAGACATAAATTCTCTATGGAATTCATGACATTTCTCAAACAAGAGGCATGGGTTTTACTGCAATTCTCCTTTGCTTTTGTCAGGAGAATTCACCCCTTGATGTAGAAGACCAGTCACTGGCAGTTTCTGTTGGTAGAGCCGTCTGCATTTCAAAATCCTGACATTTGTGCCCAAGAACGGTGCATCTCTCTGATGTGTGCTGATAGGATGGAAGCCATTTACCCCCAATATTCCTTTTAAAAATCTCCAAATGGAGGAAGGAGAGGATGCTTCCAAGAAGCAGGAAAAATAACTATCTGGAGGATTCTTTCAGAAACTGGTAAACTGTCTGCATTTGGAAATATGTCTGATTTCTTCCATCTTTAGGAGAATGACTCAATTCTTGCTTCTTTTGGTCCCTTGTCATTTCTCCATTCCAACAGATTATGTCTTACTAGGCTCTCCTGATGGTCAGTATAACTAGGTATTATATGACTTTGAAGTCCTCATCCCTATGGACACAAGTCCCTCAGCAAACATACAAGTTAATTCATAATGGTGGGAGAGGTACATGATTTATACGTGTCTGTATATGGGGGGTGGTGAAGAATATAGGGGTTTCTGAGTGATGGTTATTATATTTTGTCCCAGGGTATCTATGCTAATTGCTGTTGGCATTTGCTGGGGCAGGGCTCCTGCTGCGATATTAAGCATTCCACATTAAGCTTCAGACCTCAGTCCAGGGACCTGTAGAGTGAACACACTCTGGCATGAGGAGATTTCAACAGGGATAGTAAAAGGCTCTCTCTTAAGAGTCCAAATGAGGGTCTGCCATAGGGCACGTTGGCTCTCTGCTCCAAACCAGCTGCAGCTCTGACTCACTTTAAGCTGTTAAGTCTTTCTGGTGAATTGAATCCAAACCAAAATGTGTGTGTGTGTGTGTGTGTGTGTGTGTGTGTGTGTGTGTGTATTCCTTCCTTGAAGAATTTTCCTATATTTCCTCTTTAATCTGTGGCCTGAGAGGTTCTAGTCACAGGTTCTAGATTGTGAAACTGCCAACATGAGGTCTATAGGCTTGGGCTGGGTTTTTCCCTGCCTGAGATCCTTCCTTCAGCTGGAAGGTAGGGGCTAGAAAGAAATTGAACCAAACCATCTGTGGATGAATGTGGCTAGGGTATAGTGAGGCCCTGCTGGGGAATCAGGGATGAGAAGAGCAGGTTTGGGTCTGGTTTGCTTTGGAGGTCATAAATTTCCCAATTCACAGGCAGTTTATTACTGGAAAATTGACTGCATTTTTCAGATTTTTAGCTCACATTAAAAAATTGAGAAAGAGAACAAAAAACATGTCTTGAAAACTCCTGAAAGATCTTCTTGGACAAGGATTTGATGGTAGAAATGGACGGAGGAATTGGAATTTTTATCTGCTCTATGAATGTTGAGTTTGTTCAGGGACTTCCAATGTTTCTCAGATTTGGCTTTATAAATAAGCTTTTTGTGGGGTTTTATCACTTGGCTTTGGTTCTGACTTGACATCCACTAGAACACACAAAGCAGAGGGATGGCTTTAGTGTTTATAGTTACTGCGTTTCATGTGGTTTGTTTTTGTTTGTTTGTTTGTTTGTTTTTGTTCTTTATCCCTAGGAATTAAGGCATACCTAAATTCTAAGAAATTCCAAAATGCCTTTCATGTCACTGAGGGCAACTGTATTAACAGTTGAGTCAGAAAGCCTCCAGGTAGAAAAGGCATTGATGATTCATTTATTTATTTATTCAGCAACAACAACAAAATATGTTCTGGGAGTCAGATAAATAAATAAGAAATAAATCAGACTCTGTCCTTACCCTCAAGAATCCTGCAGTCTGATAGGGGAGAGACAGCACAATTGATAAATACAATATAAATTAGAATTTGATAGATGTGCAAGAGAAGAAGTAAGACATTAAATGAGGGAGAAATTACTTCCAGTCAAGGATCCAAAGGAGGCTTCATGGAGGAGGTATCATTTGAGCTGATTCTTAAAGGACTGGTAGTAGACAGAGCACCAGGCCTGAAGTCAGGAAGACTTGAATTCAAGTCCAGCCTCAGACATTTACTAGCTGTGTGGCCCTTGGCAAGACAATTAACCCTGTTTGTTTCAGTTTCCTCATTTGTAAAATGAGCTGGAGAAGGCAATGACAAACCACTCAAGTGTCTTTGCCAAGAAAACCCCAAATAGGGTCATGAAGAATCAGACACAAATGAAACAACTGACCAACAATGAAAATGTCAGTACACTGGGATTGGAGAGGAAAGACATTTCAGGGTTAAAGAGTAGTATACGCAAGAAAGTAGCAGTGAGAGAGTGTGGGCCACTTTCAGGAGATGATGAGTAGTCCAGTTAGATTTCAGCTGTGACTAAAGCACATCAGGGGAAAATTGTGTAAAATATTGTTTATTTTCCTCCTGCCTCCTACTAGAGTTTGGGTAAGTCAATTCTAGGACTTCCTGCCATAAAAAGTTACCCAGGCACTTTTCTGCTTAGAATCTAACCTTGACATTCACTTAAACTTCAACTGTTTCTCCATCCAACACCAACTATCCAAATGAAAATTGGAAAACTCAGCCCATCATCCAAATATTTCTAATTATACAGAAGTTTGGCCTCATAAAGACTAACTGATTAAGATATTGTGAGTTCTTCACTGGTCCTCCAGATGTTTGGCAGCCTATGAACACTGTCTCATTATGTTGGCTTTAGATTCCACAGACAACTTTTTATTCTAGTTTAACCCCAAGGCCCCCTTTTCCTCTGAAACAGAAGGATAATGGGGTAACAAAGCAGAAGGAACACTATGGAAAGGGGCTGGGGTCAGGGCCAAACTCTAGAATGTCTCCCACTTGCTGAATATAGAGTCTGTGGCAGCTGTGACTCTGTAGGTTCTCTGAAGCGGAAAATTGGCAACAATTATCCAGATAATTCACTGCCCAATTCTTCTTTGGGGCCTAAGTGATCCAGGCCATTGCCACCTTGATGGGAAGCTCTGGGTGAGAATCAGAAGACCCAGATTCTTGTTGATTGGATTTTCCTTCTTTGACCCCACAGGCGCCCACTCAGAGCCTCCATCCTGCAGTGTCAATTCGATATCCTGCCCATCCGCATGTACCTGTAGCAACAATATTGTGGATTGTCGAGGAAAAGGCTTGACAGAAATCCCAGCCAACTTGCCGGAGGGCATCGTGGAAATGTAAGTTCCTGTGTTCATGGCCACTTCGGTCCTGATAACTTTTCCTCAGCCAAATCTCCTCTGAGCTGTCTCCGCGGGCCATCAGGAGATTGGGGCTGTTAACTGCTGATAGATTGGGTCAATGGGGAAGTGTTTTTGCCATCATCTCTGTTATTTCTCATTAATGTGTCTTACAGCTTATTCATTGCTGCCGCCTCTCTGACAGAGGGGGAGGATTGAGCTCTTGTTGATTTCATTTGAAGTAAGACTTTAACTTCTGCCACTGCTGTACTTTAGGCAAAGAATTTTTTTTGGAGGCGGGGGTGAGGCAATTGGGGTTAAGTGACTTGCTCAGGATCACACAGCTAGTAGGTGTCAAGCGTCTGGTCTGGGACTGGATTTGAACTCAGATCATCCTGACTCCAGGGCTAGTGCTCTATCCACTGAGCCACCTAGCTGCCCTGGCAAAGAAATTTTTAAAAGTTCATGTACCTATGTGTGTGAACTTATGTACACACAGACACAAATGTGTCTATATGTGCATATGCCTATTTTTAAGTTTCCTGTGAAAAAATGTGTATGGCAGTGTAATTTGCTTTGGTGCATTCTCCCCATATCATAAAAACTGCTCACTGTGAAACTCTGGACTGCGTGCATTGTCAGTATCAATCACAAAATCTCTGTTAGATGTTCTTCACCTTTTTAACAGTGATTTCCTCATTTCCTAAGTTTGCCCTCAGATGACTGTCCAAAGCCAGGCTTGACAATTCCTTTAGAGACCCAGGATGAACATCCTTCAGTCTGCAGCCCCTGGATTCCACCTATCTTGCTTTCCATCTTACATTAGAGGGCCTGGTAATCTTTGGTTCCTGCCCTAGTTATTCATCTTTTCCTCCTGCTCCTCAGCTTCTTTGGTCCCATAAGATCACCCATTATGCCTCAGCCTTAGTCTTTATTTCCTTCTTCCTCTTCTCCTGATGCAGCTTAAACTTCTTCTCTTTTCTCTTGAAAACTTTCTTACAGACACTTCCCCCACACCAAAGAAGACAATCCATTTTCTCTTCTCTCCTTCTAGAGAGCGACCCTTGTCAATGTAGAACCTCTTATCTATTACCTTTCACAGGTCATTCACAACTCCTATTGCCTATCCATAAGTAGTTTCCCTATTTCCTCTAGCAAATCCTCATGCTCTAGCTAATTTCTGTCCCATCCCTTCCTAAGTCCTCCAGTCTTCTTCTCAACCAAGCTACTAGTCATCCATTATCTCCACTTCTAATTCCAACTGTTCCAAGTCACCCATACTAAGCCATTCTGGCACTTCCTAGAGTTTTCTTTCGAAGTTGCTTTTTAAATTGCTATTTCTCAACATATTCTCCCAACATGGCATACCCACATCAAAGAAGGTGCTGTGTTCAAAGCAGAATTGAAGTAGCTCAAAAGAGAAATGAGATGTGCAAATTGAGAGAATCCCCCCCACAAATGTTCACATGGACCATTTATGTCCAACCTGTGGTAGAGCATTCCAAGTTCGAATTGGTCTGATAAACCACAGCTGAACACACCATAACTTGACTCTGACATAGTGATGCAATTTTGGTCCTCTTTGAGAACTAAGGACAGCAACCAAAAACTATTTCTCAGGGATTTTCTCCAGTGAACTCTCTTTAAAGAGTACTCAACTTCCCTCTAACTCTACTCATTCTTCTATCCCTCTCCCTCTTTCTCTGTTTCCCTTCTCCATCTCTATACCTCTTTATCTTTCTCATTCTTTCCCTTTTCCTTCCTCCTCTTCTCTTACTCTGCCCCTCTCAACTTCCCATTCTTTTTTCCTTGTTTCCCCCATTTCTCTCCCTTTCCTCCAACCCCTGCCTCTTCTTTCTACTTATTTAGTCTTCTTTTCTATGCTCTCTGTCTGTTCTTTGTGGCATTTACCCTCCCAGGGCTAGGAATTTTTTTTTCTGGGCATTAATTAGTTGCTCAGGATAGAATTCCTATTACAGTCCTATCGCCTTTCAGAAACCCACAGATCATCCTTCTTCTCTCCATCCCACTTCATTCAGCTCTCCCTAGGCTATTTGTTTATTATTTCACTTTGGCAACCATGTTACTTCCCTTGGCCTGATTCCACAACCACAGAGCCTGTTTTAAGAAGCCAGTCTGAGGAAAGTCGTGCTGTAGCCATCAGCCCCCAACCCAGGAATCATTTTTCTGAAAATTTGTGCCATGACTTTTTCTGATTGACCTGCCCACCCACCTTGTCTGATACAGATCCCTGTTGTTACTGGCTTAGGCCTTTACTGAGGGGTAGGCTTACATGTATAGCTATGACCTGTGGGAGATAAAATTGAAAATATATCTAGTTGATTTGGGTTGCTTATATTGTCCAGAAAATGGGGAGTAACAGTCCCACAATGCTCTGCACTGGTCAGACCCTTCAACAATAATTGGGCACTGAATTTTCAGAGAGTCAACAATTGAATAGATTGCCTTAGGAAATAATGAGTTCAGGCACTGGAAGAATTTAAGCAGAGGATGGATAACTGTCTTGCAGGGATATTTTGAAAAGATGAATTCCTTAAACAAAGGAAAAACTATGTGGCCTCTTAAGTTCTTATCTAAATGAATTAGTACAAGAGACACAATATAACATAATGGATAGACAGCTATTCTCTTGGAGAGAAGACCTGGGTCCAAGTCCTGGCTCTTAACATAATAGCTATGTGGCCCTGAAAAATACATTTAGCCTCTCAGTGCCCCCACCCCGAATCTATAAACTGCAGTTGAGTTACCAGTCTGTGGCAGTGGAAGGAGTTTCCACACCAGGAGTTCCCTACACTGATGAAGTCATCAGTACTTATAACAACAATGCCTGAACCTCACTCTCTTTCCAGTCAAAAACAGATGATGGCATTGTTTCTTTCCCAGTCTTTGATCTTTTTCTAGCTGGGTTAATACAACTGATTGTTGGGTTGGTTGGACGAACAATCAGACAAGGCCAATCCAAAAAAAGGCAGGCCAAGTTTAAGTCCCACAGGTGTGTGTTCCTCCCCAGGTGTTCCTGGGCCTGTGTTGCCATCCGCTCCAACCTCTCAGATGAGGGATACATAAAGACTTTGCCTTCTTCATTATTTGCCCACTGCTTCAAGGATTCACCCACTCCCAGGGGTGGGGGAACAGTTCTTTAGCCTTTCATTCATTCAGTCAGAGCATAAGTGTGTGATTAAGTCATTTTCCACGTGCTGCTGCTTTGGTGCTCAGGTGGTTCTTGGCTCCTGTCTTTTTGTCTCATATTGGATGAGGCACAGTTTCCACCAAGCGTAGTGGGGTGGGAGTCTCAGTTTTTTCTAGCTGATCAGCATCATAACGTTGGCTAAAATGAAACCAAGTCAACTCTTGATCATTTAGGGACCAGTCATCGAAGGAGTTAATTACCTAGGGCTTCGCATCTCTTGTTTCACCTTACTCGTTTTATTAGTTGTATGTGAGGGACATAGGGAAGTGTTTCTGTGATTGGAGAGTGGTAGGGTAGAGGAGAGTGACACAGGAGGGAAAACTGGGGGGCTGGAGAGGAGAGAGAGACAGAGGGGGAGAGAGAGAGACAGAGAGAGAAACAGAAAGAGAGACAGAGAGATCGAGAAAGAGAGACAGAGACAGCTTGTTTCCAAGGGTAACACTGCCTGTCACTAGAGGCAATTCATTGAGTTGTTATCAAAATATGTAAAGTATATATAGGCCCAGTATCTGAGATTAAGATGATTTAAGAGTTCTCTAAAAGTGAGAAGAAAAGGGGTGCCCTAAATTAGCAAGTAGAAAGCAGATGGAAAGAGATGGGAAGAGGGTGAGCTGATAGAGATGACAAAGGGGAAGAAATAGCACAGTCCCCAGAATAGAATCAGGGAAGTTTTCTCCATCTAAACAAGACATAGGAGAAAAATTTGAAAACCTGCCCCATATCTCACCACCTGTCCATAGCCTCTGGTATATTCCTTCTTAATGGCTGCATAGAAACCTCTCTGATTTTCCTCCTGGGAATGTTTGCTGTCATACTGTGGGTTCCTGCCCCTTCTCTTTTCACTTTTAGAGAACTCTTATATTGTCTTCATTCAGCACAGGTACTGGGCCTGTACTTCTCAGCATTTCAAGTGAAATGGGCCTCTTAGTTCATTCAAAGACTAATTGAAATTGAAGCATTTTCAGTTCTCTCTGGAGCCAGTTCCTTTAACCATCCCTCCTTTCATGGAATACACATTGAGTCTCACTGCAGATTTTCTTTGGAAATGAGCTCCCATCAGTGTTCCTTACTTTCATTTCTCTGAACTGGATCCCACTCCAGAAGAGATGATTCTGGGAACTTCTGCAGACTCAAATGCTTCTGTGGTCTGCCATCTGAAGGTCCAGTTTATAGTGTCTGCAGGACTCCAGGCAGAGAGAGAGTTAGGTGGTAATCAGACTCCTTTACCATGGGGGAAAGGGTAATACCCCCAAATTAGATGGGAAGGTTACAGAGACAGAGTGACTAAAACACATGTTGATTCAAGTTCAGTGTTCTCATGATGCCTTATCCCCTCCTATCAAGAGGAAAGAGCAGAAAACTAAATCATGTGAAGGTCTTAAGGACTTAATCTTATTTAACCTTTCCTTTTCAAAAGAATGAGAAAAATATTTGATCCAAAGAGATAAATCTTTTATGATAGATATCAGACACTCTCGCATAGGGATTCTTAACCTGAGGTCTGTGAAATTCTTTTTTAAAAATATTTTGTTCATTGTATTTCACATAATTGGTTTCCTTTGTAAATCCATATATATTATATTTAAAATCATTATTCTGAGAAGGGGTCCATAGGTTTTACCAGACTGCCAAAGGCGTCCAGGACATAAAAAAAGGTTAAGAATCCCTGTTCAAGGGGCAGCTAGGTGGCTCAGTGGATAGAGCACTGGCCCTGGAGTCAGGAGGATCTGAGTTCAAATCTGGCCTCAGACACTTGACACTTAACTAGCTGTGTGACCTTGGGCAAGTC